CACCCTCACTTACCTACCATCACTCCTTCTTATCACCCTCACTTATCTACCATCACTCCCTCTTATCACCCTCACTTACCTACCATCACTCCTTCTTATCACCCTCACTTACCTACCATCACTCCTTCTTATCACCCTCACTTACCTACCAATCACTCCCTCTTATCACCCTCACTTACCTACCATCACTCCCTCTTATCACCCTCACTTACCTACCAATCACTCCCTCTTATCACCCTCACTTACCTACCATCACTCCCTCTTATCACCCTCACTTACCTACCATCACTCCCTCTTATCACCCTCACTTACCTAATCACTCCTTCTTATCACCCTCACTTACCTACTATCACTCCTTCTTATCACCCGTGCTAACAGTCATTGAGCTGGCGCTGGCGGGAGTGGCGCAGGTGGCCATATGTTATCTGGTGTGGAAAGGTTGGCAGACGATGAATTCGTCTCAGTCCAGTACAAAGCCAGTGCACTTGCCTGAGTTTATTCTCAAACGGTTAGAGGCCAAGAACGAAGGTCTCAACGAGCGCGAGATGATCATAGGTGTGTGGGTGTATGTGTGTGGTGTCTGGGAGTGTGTGGGTTTGTGTGGCTGTGTAGTGTCTGGGGGCTTGTGGGTATGTGTGGGTGTGTGTGTGTGGTGTCTGGGAGGGTGTGGGTGTATGTGTGTGGTGTCTGGGGGTAGTCCGGATGTCCAGGTTTCGGGTGCAGGTTGCGGCGCCCGAGTGGCGTGGAACGGGACCGCTTGTCCTGTTCATGTGCGTTCCTAATAAACTTGGGGGTTTTTTTACTAATTATGTATGGACGTGGTGAATCTTCCAGCTATTCTCTCTGTGGATGCTCCATGGCTATAAGACTGGTTGCTACGCAGTGGTTGCTACGCAGTGGTTGCTACGCAGTTTTTTGTGTTTATGTCACAGTTGCGTCGGGTGTGGTACATTATTATGGTCCCTTTGCAGTGGTTTATGAACCTCGTTTATTCCGCAGATTGACTACTTGATTCTGCTTTCAACCTGGGCTTAAAAATCGGGGTATGGACACTTAACACTTAATGTAATACAGGATCATTCGAGTTTAGTTAAACCTTTGTTATTGCTACCTCCTGTGCCTACCTTTGGCAGCCGGTGAAATCGTCAACCCAGATACACTCACAGTCGAGTGGAAGGATATAGGTGGCCTGGATGAGCAGATTCGTGACTTACAAGAGGCGGTATGAGAAAATACTACGAAGGCACCCAGCACTAGTACTGTTGAATATTTTAATCATTATATATATATATATATATATATATATATTCATATATATATACATATATGCTATTAGTACTGTGAATATATATATATATATATGATATCAATGCCACGGGCATAGGCACCTAGCACTAGTACTGTTGAATATACATGTATATATATACATGATATTAATACTGCAAACATATATACATATAATATTACGACTGTGAATATATATATATATGATATTGATACTGCGAACAATGTGAATATACATGATATCAATTATACGGGCATAGGCACCTAGCACTGGCACTTGTAAACATATTTACAAAATATGAATATCGCGAACATAAATAATTGACATCACCAACATAAATACCTAGCTAAACATCCAACTGAAACTATTGCGATCAGAGTTTGTGCATGCAACATGGGGTGACACTTGCAGAAATGAAGCAGTTATATATA